ACAACAAAACTTTGGACTGATCCACGAACAACAATTGGTCGAACATGGACACCGATAACTGTTAGTATTGGACGAAGACGTTCTGGTTTTCGACTTGTATTTATTTCAACACATACTGGTTCAATAACAGCATCTGATATATCTATTGATGATTTTAAATTTGTTGAATGTAATGCACAATCAATTGGTCATTGTGAAGGTTTTACTGATCCATTTAATTGTTCAAATGGAAATTGTATTCATCAAGATAATGTAATAAAAATTTTGTAGTTTTATATCTGTTTAAAAAAAAAAATTTTTTTTTCCTTTTTTAGTTATGTGATTATAGTGATGATTGTGGTGATAATACTGATGAAAATAGTTGTGAAAAATATGTTCAAATGTGTAATTTTGAGAATAATGCAGAACCAATATGTTCATGGTCACATGATGATGATGCAGACTTTAGATGGCAACGTATGCGTGGTGATCAAGTTAATAATTTTGATTGGTATGATGATTTCTGGCAACTCTATGGTCCTGATCGTGATCATACATTAGGTAAAAATTGATTCTTTATAAAAAAAAAAGAAAAATTTTAATTGTAATTTTCATTTCAATCAATATAGGGACATCAAAAGGACATTTTCTATTGCTTGAAACAAGTGCACCACGTCAACCAAATGATACAGCACGTGTTGTTAGTCCAGTATTTGCTCCAACAACATCAGGAGAATGTCAATTTCGATTTTGGTATCATATGTATGGTTATGATGTTGGAGCATTAAATATATATACACGTACTTTTATTGGTGGTCCATTGACATTAGTTTGGAATCAAAATCGTGAAAGAGGTGATGAATGGCTTCGTGCTAAAATTGTTCTTAAAGTTCAAGAACCATTTCAAGTACTTATCGAAGGTGTACGTGGTAGTGGTTATGAAGGTATTTTTCATTTGAAATTTTATTTTTTTATTTTTGAGTATTTGAAATTTTAATATTACTAGGTGATATTGGTGTGGATGATACAACTTTTACACCAGGTTGTCAATTACAAATAATAGCTACATTACCACCTTTTGTATATTCTACAACACAAAGTCCATATTGTAATGCGACACATTCTCATTGTGCACAAAATACTCGTCAATGTATACCAAAAGATCAATTTTGTAATTTTAATATTGAATGTACAGATCAAACAGATGAATTATCATGTCCACTAGCATGTAATTTTGACCAAAACACAACATGTCTTTGGACAAATGATCGAAAACTAAACCTCAAATGGGAATTTGGTAGCGGTAGAACAGCATCAAGTGGTACAGGTCCAAGCACTGGTAAATCTTTTTTTGTTTTTTGATTAAAACAAATCTTCATAATATATTCTTTTCTCTCCTATCTTTTTTTCTCGCAGATCATTCAACAGGTAGTGTTACTGGAACATATATCTATTTGGAAACAAGTACAGGTAATTTTGGTGATCGTGCTCATCTTATTAGTCCACTTTATCGTAAATCCTCCAAAACTTGCAAGTTTACATTCTGGTAAAATTCAAATTCTTTTGTTTTTATTGTTTCAAAAGCATCTTTTGTTTTTTCTAGGTATCATATGTTCGGTGATACAATTAATACATTAAATATTCATATACGTTCTGGTGGTATTGATACATTAATATGGTCATTACAAGGAAATCAAGGTGATCAATGGCGACAAGGAACCGCTTATTTACCAACATGTGCATCAGAATTTAATGTTATTGTTGAAGGTATACGTGGTAC